CGGGGGAGGTGCGGCCCGCGGGCCAGAAGCCTCCAAGCCCACACCAGGCACATGGAGACCAGCACGGTGCAGGGTGGTCTGAGGCAGAAGCTGCCAAGGCTTGGCAGCAGGGAACGTGGCATCTCGCACCTGGCCTGCGCGAAGCACTGGGTGCCCCACGCCCTGGCCACCCCAAGGACTCTCATCTCACCATGTGGCCCTGTAGGTCAGCAAGGCCACCACCTTGCAGAAGACGGCCGAGTACATCTGCAAGCTGCAGCAGGAGAGGGCAGCCCTGCAGGACGAGGTGCAGAGACTGCGGGAGCAGATCGAGGAGCTCAACAGCTCCATCAAGTAAGGGGGAGGTGGAAGGGAGCCACTGGCTGCATCAGGGGAGCCCAGCGCTGGGGAGGCAGCAGGATGCAGCAGGTCTCCTGAGCACGGCCCAGGACCTGCATTTGACTCTGTCACCCACCTCAAACCCCGTTTGGGAGAGGGATGATGCTCAAGAGGCAGTGCTGTGTGGGACCCAAGCATGGGACCAGGTCCCACAGCTGCCCCGGGAGGGGGACACTGCCTGCTCACTCCTGCTGAGAGCTGAGGTACTGCCAGAACCTGTCCCCACGGGGCAGCCCGTCTGGCTCCCACCCTTGTGAACACAGACCCAGGGCATTGCTTGTGCCCCACAGCCTGTGCCAGGAGCAGCTGCCAGCTACGGGGGTGCCCATCACACGCCAGCGCTTCGACCAGATGCGCAGCATGTTTGACGAGTACGTCCGCTCCTCCACGCTGCAGAATTGGAAGTTCTGGATTGTATCCTTTGGGGGCCAGAGCCTGCTGCTTGCTTTGGCCCCTCCGCCAAACAGCAGGTCCTCTGGTGCACCCACTGCTCCTGGGTCTCCCCCTCCAGCTCTAGAGGCTCTGGGGACCATGGGGAGGTGTTTCCCAGCCAAGGTCACGTGGTGGGAACATGCCGAGATGGTGTAGTGAGGAGGAAGCTTCTGTTACAAGGGAACAAACAGAATAGGAGTTCTTGGGGAGAAGGAAAGTCACTGGAGCTGAGCTGGTACAGGGAGCAGCTCCTGGTGACATGGGAACTGGCTCTGAAAGGAAGCAGCCATCAACTAGGGATTAGAAAAGGTTCAGGCACAAAGCTGGGGGACATGATGGCTTGGACCTTGTGTCTGTGTGGCACGCCCTGGAAACCCAGGTGTGCCCATGCCTGGGACACAAGCCTGGGCTCCACATGGTGGAAAGGATGAAGGGGACCAAGGGTCAGGGAATGACTGGTCAAAGGGCTGGGTCTGCTTCTCTATGAGCAGGGATTAGGCAGACTGGGACCATTAAGCCTGCAGAGACTGTGAAGTCTACGAAGCCCCGAGTGGCAGAGGGATGGGCAGGCATTGCTGCCCACAGCCCCATCCGGTGCAGGCAGTCTGGACAAGGCAGAGGTGGCTCCTGAAGCAGAGTTGCAGAGCAATGTGGAGCTCCTTCCCCGGGACACTGGATATACTAAAGCTGGTGTGGTCTCCAGGACATGCTCATGGTGCCCTGCCCTGCTCCTGAGCACTTCAGAGGACGCTGTGCTAGCTGGCTCCTTGATCTGCTCTGGAAGAGTAGTCTTGTGTCTAATCAACCATTCCTGGCAGTCATGACGGTGGTTACACCAGTTCTCCCTGTGCCTGCCCTGGGTGACACACAGGACCACGTCACCCCAGCAGTATGGGCTGGTGCCCGGGCTGGCGCTGTGCTGAGGAAGGCACCCAGAAGGTCTGCTTCATGGCCATGCAGGGAGGGTTACCCTGCTGTCTTTAGAAGGTGCTGCCCACGCCTGGCAGGAGGGAGACCATGGTCTTGACAAGGCTGGTCCTTAACTCCTCTGCTCCCATTAGTTCAGTATCATCATCCGCCCTCTCTTCGAGTCTTTCAATGGTATGGTCTCCACAGCCAGCATGGAGAGCCTCACCCAGACATGTCTCACCTGGCTGGACCAGCACTGCTCCCTCCCAGCGCTTCGGCCAAGTAGGTGGCTCTGCACCTGTCCGCATCCCCCTGAAGAAACTGGGCAGACGGAAAAGCAGAGGAGAAAAGGATGGGGGTGTCCTGGAGGGCGGTGGGGCTGGTGCTGCAACATGCTTCTGCTGCATGGGAGGGACATCCTGGAGCTGTGTGCTCCGTGCTTTTCCATGCTCCTTTCACACCCACACTCCAGCTGAACTGGCTGCTGGCACCTGACCTGAAAGCTCATGTCCTGGCTGGGCAGGGCTCAGCCATCCCAAAGCCCCACGGGGTGGGTTTCCCTTCACCCTTTCTGCTGTGCGCTGTGACAAGGAGATGTTGTGCCGTTCCAGGGGCTGGAGTGGGGATGGGAAGACCCATCTGCCCTGGGATGGGTTAACCCAGGCCCTTTCCAGCCCCCAAGGCATGGGGGCAGCTGACATGTCTCTTGTCTCCCTGCAGCGGTCCTGAGCTCCCTCCGGCAGCTGAGCATCTCCACCTCCATCTTGAGCGACCCGGCCTGCATCCCTGAGCAGGCAACGCAGGCGGTGG